CAGAGCTGTGCCCAACCTGCCCACACCATTCCTGCTGCCTCAGGCCCCCAGGGATGTCCAAAAGGGAATTAGCTCCCTGTTTTTAGGCCACTGGGATTCATCATCAGTGTTTTGGTGTGAGCTGGGGCTTGAGCTCCAGCCCCTGGTTGTGGAGCATCCCCAGAAGAGCCTGGGGAGCGACTCTGAACCCCAGAGCTCGCTCACCCCAGTGACCTCTCTGCCTGGCCCACCTAAGAGGGGTGTCTGACACCCCAAAATCCCCACGGAGATGCAGAGATGCTCCAGGACCTGCTTCAGCCCCAGAATGTGTGCAGCTGTGACTCTGGTGCCCATCCCGGGTGTTTCAGGGCGGCAAAGCTTCACCCCCATCGTCTCCTCCCACACCATCGTGCTCTATCCTTCCTCTCCGCAGCAGAAGGGAGGGAACCTCCAGACTACTCCGAGCCGATTGTCCTTTCTCACTGACCTCTCCATTCACCTGCACTGGAAATGCATCAAAGCGCTGCCCTCTTCCCTGTGGCACAGGCACAGCCCCACCTTTGGCCACAGGGCAAAGCAGGAGGCACCAGGAGCAGCCAAGTGCGGAATTTCAAACGATGCCCGTGGAATTTCAAACGATGCCCACTCTGAGCGGGGAATTCCGCAGCTCCAGTGTGTCCCTACTATAAACCAAGGCAAAACGCCGTGTGCATCAGCAAAAGGCTTTGTATTGTAAAGTGCTCCCTTTCTGTCCGAGCAGGAGCGAATTCAGATGATTATTGACCCTTCACTGCAGGAAAGGCACATTAGAATATCTCCAAATCAATCGAGGGCAGAGCAGAGCAGCGGGGAAAGGGCACCACATTGCAGCTCGCTTTGGCCTCCTGAAAAAAGAGTTTGCAAAGCATCTGTTGGAGGCCCCCGGAGCCTTTTCTTTCCAATGGCCACGTTGGCCAAGGCGATGGCCCGGGGGAGCGGCGGACAGGCAGATAATGGACCCACTTTAATTGCTTCCAGCTCCATGAATCAGAACGCTCGGGGATGGCAAAGGGGAAGTGCTGCAGCTTCACTGAAGGAGCTTTCTGGCTTTGAAGAAGGCTCCGGAGGAACAAATGCTAAAGTCAAAGTCTTGGAAGGACTGAAGGTTCCAGGTCCTGGAATATCTTTCATGTTTTGCTTTTGACGCTCGGGTTAAGTTTTAATGATGTTATGAAAGAGGGAGGGATGGTTTCTCAGCTGATAGAGGAGGGGCCGGGTGTCATTCCAAGAGCCCTTTCCTCAGGGATGGGCACTGAGATGGATGAGTCCACTGAGGTGGATGAGTCCAGCTGCAGGTGAAGGATCCAGCGTCCAGTGGTGGTGGGAGCTCGCTGCAGAGGAGAAGTTGGGATGGATTTATCTGGAATGTGAAGGGAGGATGCTGTTCCTCCCTGGGAGCTGAGCATGGCACATTCTGGGAATGGGCAGAAAGGGAACCTTCTGACCTCCATCCTCCTCGTGACAGCTGTGAATCACAGAATCCTGGAATGCTTTGGGTTGGGAAGGACCTTTAAACTCATCTCATTCCACTCCCTGACACCTTCCCCTACCCCAGATTGACCCAAGCCCTGTCCACCCTGGCTTGGATGTCTCCTGTCCTCTGGTCCAAGAGCTGGGGATGTTTTTCCTGGAAAAGGAAGGAGCTCACAGCCAAAGCTGAACCCAGTGCTACAGGAAAACAAATTAAAATATGCCAGTGCAAGGTCTGGATGGCTCTTGGCAGTGGCACTTGGTGGCCACTGGGGTCTGGGACACACTGGGACCAGGCACAGCTGCTGGTTGGACACCAGTCACTGCAGTGAAGGATTTTGGAGCAGCAGGGAAAGCCATGGCAGGGTCCCTGGGGTCTCTGTCATGACACACTCAGCCTGGCTGGGGACAAAAGTGTCACCTTGGCTTCCCACAGCTTCATCCCCTCCTGCCCTTCCCCCTGGCCCTGCCCTGGTGGGGACTGGCAGCGGCTGGGCTGTGTCATGGATCAGTCAGGACACGGCTGAGCTGCACGGCGGGAAAGCTACTGGAAAAAGGCTTTGGGGGATGATTGACAGGAATTGTCTCAGTGGAAGGAGCTAATCCGGGCAGCTCATGAACACCAGGTCCCTAATTAAAGCACACAGCCTGGCCCTGCTGTAATTAATTTCCCAGTGCTGCTGGCTGGCAGCGCTCTCAGTGCCACTGACTCACTGCTGCTGGCAGCCTCCAGGGCATGGGAGTGGGACAGGGAGAGCTGAGCCTGAGCCTTGGAGTGGGACAGGGAGAGCTCAGCCTGAGCCTCAGAGTGGGACAGGGAGAGCTCATCCTGAGGCTTGGAGCAGAGCAGGATGTGCCCCTTCCCTCCTGGAGCCACAGTGCTCCAGCCCTGGCACAGCCAGGAGCTGAGACAGGACCCTGCTGCCTGCCTGGGAGCTTCCCACGGGAGCAGAGCTCCTGTGGATAACCTGGGCACGGAGAGGCTCATGGCTCGTCCTCTGCCAACTGCTTCCTGTCCTCTCCTCTCTCCCTGTGTCCCCGTGGATTTACATGGGTTTACATGGATTTACATGGATTTATTGTGCCCTTGGCTGGAGCTGGGACAGCCATGGTGTCACTGCAATTCCTCTCACTTGGGAATGGGTTTTTGCATCCCCTCTGCTGCTTCCCATTTATTCCTAAGGTCTGTGGGATGCACCCAGGCTGTGGCTGGATTTTCCCCAGGTTGTGGCAGGGAGGAGCAGCCTGGGGACAGCTGGATCCTGCCCCAGTGCCCAGTCCGAGCTGTTCTGCTGGAATGGGAGGTGTTGCATAAGGAGGTGACTCCCACTGCTCCGGTGTCACCCCCAGCCCCATCACTCCAGTCACGGAGCTGATGAGAGAGGCTCCAGAAAGTCCCTTTTCTCTGCCCACGGGGTTTCATTATCAGCTGCAGAGGGATGGCCAGAGAGTCGCCAGCACTGTTTTAATTTCCCAGGAGGCTGCTCTTGGTCTGCCATGGCTGCAGCAGGGAGTTTCAGTTGTCTCGTTTCACTGTGCTCCGTGCAATGGGACGTGACACGTCAAAACATGACAAGGCAGCCAAAATGTGTCACAACACTGCACTCAAACTCTGCCTTGCAGGGTTGCTCAGCAGCTGATAGCATCAGGCTCCAATTATCTCTGCATGCTGAGCTGGGGTTTTTATCCCTTGTGGAATATGATATATGGGACTCTCCTGCCTGTATTGGACTATTGGATCACATCAGATTTATTAACCACACACGGAGAATCGTTCTGACCAGCCTGACACCCAAACCTGGGATCTCGGCCTGTTCTTGCAGGAAAGAGACTTTCCCACCTTGGCTTTTCTGATTGTTATTCTTTCAGTAAAGATTTGGTGAGGTTTCTGTGTGATTTAATTGGTTATTCTTGGTGTTTGATGTGGTTTCATTGGCCATATGAGCACCTGCCAGGCTCTAAGGGAGGTGCAGCTACTGCCTTCAGATTCCCCCCACGAATTTGCAAGGCTGGATGTGGCTCCAGTCTCCCCACTTCATCCCATTCTGCACTGCTGGGCTTTCCCCTCTGGCTTTTTGCACACTGCTTTTCCACCTTACTTTGCAATGAGGCACCAACATTTCAGAAGGATGTTTGGAGTTTTTCAAATGCAAAACCCTCCCACAACAGCAGCAAAACCTCCCACAAGAAAGGCAAAGCCACTCTTGTCCCTAGGCTCGAGATTCCCAGCGGGGAGCACATGTCCTGTGGCCAGAGGTGCTGTGACAAGCTGGGAAGGAGTAACAGCGTCCCTGTTCCCATGTGGCATTCCCAAATGGAGCCTCCTGCTGCTCTGGCTGTTGTCCATTCATTTTATCTCCCATTTGCAGGAATCAGACTAATTACTGGCTGCTAATTGCTGGGAAAGCACTGCTGGCACTGCCTCCCTTCCCACCAGGGCAGGGAACAGCCTGGCTCTTCTCAGCAGGACCTTCAGGGACCCTCGTGGTTCCTTTGGAGAAGGTGCTGCTCTGTCCATCCCTTCCCTCCCTCCAGGCTCACTCCCAGCTCCCCAGCTGGGGAATGTGGGGAACCAAAATGCTTCCTTGGGATTCTAGTGCAGCCCAGCTCCTGGGGAAGTGGGTGGGCATCATCAGGAAAAAAATGTTCCTCTCCAGGATTTTCCAGCCCCATGAGGCTGCCAGCATGCTTGGGACACATGGAATCTGTTTCTGCCTTGCACACTTGGTGGGATCCCTGACTGAAGCCTTGCACGTGACTTTCTCCTACAACAGCACAATAGAAAATTCTGCTGTTTCCTCCTCTTCCTCGGTGGCTGCATAGGTTCAAAGGAAAAAAAATGGGGAGAGAGGAAACAGGAATATGTGGCTGTTTTGAGCAGGAGAAGGAAAGGATCCTCTTGGCCCTGAGACTTCTCCAGGCAGGTCTGACCTGAAAATTATTCTGGGAATGTCTCACAGTTATTCCTCCCAGGAGATCAAATCAGTCCAAAATTATTTGTGGAAAGTCACAGTTACGTTTTGAGAGCAGTGTAGGGACACCTGCTTGTTTGGAAGAGTTGTTCCGTGACCCTGCAAAGGGAAGAGCTGGTGGCACTGCTGGGGTGGCATTTGGAGTTTCCTGATACATCCCAGCTTTTCCAGTGGCTGAGCTGTGCCAGGTGTGCCCCTGGCAGAGGGAAATGCCCCAGAATTTGCTCCCTTTGCTCACAGGTAAGATCATGAGAACAGGGCTGGTGTTGGATGTGCAAATCCAAAGCGTTGATCCCTCTCTTTCACGTCCCGGGGGTGCAGGGCAGAGGAGGTGCTGGGACTCCATCTCTACAAGTGTACATTGATTTAAGCTCTTGAGTTGAATCCCATTTTTAATCCAGCATTTTAATCTCTGGCTTCCCTGGCATCTGTTTGTGGTTGCTGGTGCCACACCCGGAGGGGGAATTTCAGGCTCCTCTGCAAAGAGAAGTGCTCTCCATGACCCTGCCTAATTCCCACCCTGTTTCTGTCGTTCCTCAGGAAGCAAACTGCTGATTTTGGTGCTTTGCTTGAACATCCCGTCAGAAGCGGAGTCCTGCCCCGGGGCGTGTGTATGCTACAGTGAACCCAAGATCACCATCAGCTGCCAGCAGCAGGGGCTGACAGCCATCCCCACCGAGATCCCCATCCAGAGCCAGCGCATCTTCCTGCACAACAACCGCATCACCCTGGTGAGGGCCACCAGCTTCACCTCCTGCCGCAACATGACCATCCTGTGGATCCACTCCAACAACATCAGCCTCATCGAGCCCGGGGCCTTCTACGGCCTCACCAAACTGGAGGAGCTGGACCTCAGCGACAACACGAACCTGAAATCCATCAACCCCGTCACCTTCCGGGGCCTTGTGCACCTCCACACCCTACACCTGGATCGCTGCGGGCTCCTGGAGCTCTCCACAGGGCTTTTCCGGGGGTTGTTCTCCTTGCAGTACCTCTACCTTCAGGATAATAACCTCCAGATCCTGCTGGACGACACCTTCATCGACCTGGCGAACCTCACGTACCTGTTTTTGCACGGGAACAAAATCAAGAGCTTGTCAGAGAACGTCTTCCGTGGGCTGATCAACCTGGACCGGCTGCTGCTGCACCAGAACAGGGTGAGCCTGGTGCACCGGCGCGCATTCCACGACCTGGGCAAGGTGATGACCTTGTACCTGTTCAACAACAACCTGACCGTGCTCACGGGGGACACCATGGCCCCCCTGGTGTCCCTGCAGTACCTGCGCCTCAACGGCAACCAGTGGATCTGCGACTGCCAGGCGCGCTCGCTCTGGAATTGGTTCAAGCAGTTCAAGGGCTCCTCCTCGGAGCTGGAGTGCCACCTGCCCCCTCGCCTGGCCGGGCGGGACCTCAAGCGGCTGCAGAGCTCCGACCTGGACAGCTGCGTGGACTCCTTCAACCAGATCCGCACCAGCGTCTTCAGCACCAAAACCAGGTCGGGGAAGCTCCCGACGGGGCTGCCCCCGCTGGGCTCCCACGACGGCTCCTCCAAGTGCTGCCAGCCCGAGATGGACAAGTCTTTTATCTACGAGGCTAAGGGCAAGGCAGGGCCCTCCTCCCACAGCAGCCGTTCATCCAACAACCACCTCAAGGAGAAGGAGAACATGTCCAGGCCCAAGTACATGGAGACAGACCCTTCCAAAAATGGCAGCAACAAGCAGATAAATGATTCCCCCTTTGGGACCTTCCCCAGCATTGTAGACCCTCCTTTGACCAAGTTGAGACCCGAATTTCTAGAGCCCATTGAACCTTCCACAGTCCCAACCAAAAAGAGGCAGGGCTGCTCTAAAAAGAACAGATCAAAGGCCCAGTGCCGCCTCACCCAGCAGGGGAACAGCTCCACGTTACAGCTCAGCCTAAGCCTTTTGATCCCCCCCTTGGTGTGGAGCTTACTGTTATTCTGCTAAAGTTAACTCTTTTCCTGGGTTGATCACACTTTAATACTCGACTTTTGCTGACCTCCATAAATGTTGCAAACAAAAGCAGGACTCCCATCCACCGTGAGAAAGCTTTGTTACACAAAACTTAACTGGATGCCTTTATTAAAACAAACAAACAAAAAACAAAACAAACAAAAAAGACAAATGCTGAGGTGTACATAATTTATTTGTCCTGAAACCTGTGAATTATACCTTTGGTCTTCGGAACTGCACTTGCCCACAAAGCAGCTTTTGCTACAGCAGATGGTAAAGAAATATGGTTTATTTACAGGAAAAAAAAAAAAAGTGTAAGAAATGCTCTGAAAAGAATGTCTAAAATCTGTTTGTAACTCGCCATCACACTGAACAATGTTGCAGGTTCCCATTTGCAGAGGTAATGGATTTGATGCTGTTTTAATCCTATGTTGATGACTCTTGCAGATTTTCTGTCTCCATTCCATCCTTCACACCACGTTTACGGGCAGCATTTGTTAAAGAATGCTGCCTTCCCCTTCACAAGATTGCAGTATATATAGATATGCATTTTATTTTACTTGTGTACAAGTATACAAAAAAAACCCTATAAAATAAAGATTTCTTTTTCCTAAGTGGTTGTCATCTGCGAGGGGTGAAGGACTCGGAGCAGCTAAAAAGCTGAAAATTTAAAAGGATGTGGAGTGTGATCTGAGCATTTAACACCACAGTGATAAATAAGGCATTTTTGGATGGTTATGCAACCTTTAACTGGTGCCAGCAAAGAGTTTGGTTGTGTGAAACATGCCCTGCTCATGCTCCTGCTTCCCTTCAAACTGTCTCACCTTCTCCCAGCATCATTCGGATTCCAGGATGATCAGAAGAGCAGGAAATGCTGGCCCAGCCCATCGGAGCTGAGCTAGAGGAATGTCAGAAACAATCCCAAGATTTGGCCATTTTTCTCCTGCTCTGTACAGATGGGCTCAGCTCTGTGGTAGGTCCTGAGTGGGATTCATGAGACAGGGGGGATCTCCCCACAAACACGGGGCCTGGCAGCTCAGGTGCCCATCCCTGGAGTCACCGTGGCAGTGGTGACCTTGGGGTGCAAAGAAAAGAAACCATTGCCACCCCATGGGACCCAGTGGGCCATAGAGCAGAGCTGGCTGTGCCCTCCTGGCACTGCAGCCACCCCCTGGGCCAGGCTAGGAAGGGCTGGCACAGAGCTTATCAGGGACTGCTTTTCCTTATCAAACCACAGAGATTCTCCTGTGCCACTCGCTCCTGATGGGGTTCACAAGTCTCTGAAGGCAGGAGCAGCCTGTCACACACGGCTGGCAGGGCATGGGGGCCAGAGAAAGGCAGTGGCACAGTCCCAGGGGAGCTCCAGGGTTATGTGTGGAAGTCAGACTGGAGGCTCCTTCCCTTGGGGTTCCAGCATTGGCACTGGTGCTGAGCTTCTCAGAAGGAGGGAGGCACTGCCAGCCGGGAGTGAAGGGCATCAGCAGGGCCACAGCTTCCTTCCAGCCTTGTCCTAGGCCTGATGGCTCATGAGGAGGGAGCAGAGACCATGGGGACAAGCAGAAGGATGCTTGGATGGCTGATGTCCCACCTGGGATGCTGTGGGGCAGGGTCTGTGCCCCACCCTGGGGTGCTGCTGGCTCTTCTTACCTCTACCACAGCCAGTTCCCACCTGGGTGAGTGACAGGGAGTGCCCAAAGTGCTGCATTTGTGATCTGTCTCCAAATCCATCCATGGGGCTGCCAAAAAGGTGTGGCACACACTGCTGGGAATGAACACCTCCCTCATGTCCCCGGATGGAGACAGGCCTGTCTCTCCCAGCTGGGCAGGAGCTGCTGTGCACAACAGCCCTGGGATCCCAGCAGATCCCATTCCTGCCAGCCCAGCTCCATGATCCAGCCTCTGCAGAGGCTCCAGGCGTGTTTGGGTGCAAATTCCTTGTCCTGCCAGAAGGATAGAGCAGGAAATCAATGCCAGTGCTGAGACAGTGCTGGGGTGAGCTGGCCAGTCCTGCCAGCCCTGCTGTGTGTGCCCAGTTTGGTGTGCACTTGTCCACACTCACAGGCCACTGACTGGGACCTTACCAGCCACTTCCTGCCATTCCAGCTCAGATTTGTCCCATCATGCCAGAGACTCTTGAAGGATGCAAACCTACACTGGAATCTGAAGCTCAGGAGCAGAGAGCAGCTTGGTCACGGGGTCAGCACCGCCCCAAAGCCCATGGAAAAGCTGGAAGATTTGCTGGATGCTGTGATGGGCTCCCATGGAACCTCCTGTTTGGGTCATTGGCTCACTATGACTCCCTTGTACAGCAATTAGTGAATCTTGTAGACCAAATTCCTGCTCCATGGAAGCAAGACCAGGAGGCAAAAATGCAGGAAGTACCCAAAAGGAAAAAATTGAGAAAAAAGAGAACATTGTGGCATCTCCCCCAGCAGCTGAAGGGTAGAGCTGGGAGCTGGGATTGCACTGCCCAAAGCAGGATCTCGGGGAGCTTGGCTCCCCATGGACACTGCAAAGAGACAAGGAATTCCTGTCACTTATCCTGAATGGAGCAGGAGCTGCACTCTGCCAACCCAGTGACACCATTCCTGCTTTCTAGAGCTTGGCTCTGCTGTGCTTTCAGTGGCTCCTAGGACTATACCTTGGCCACAAGCCCAGAAGAGTCCCTCGTGCTAATTTCCTAGATTTCCTGCTGTCCAGATGCCAATTCCTGTGTTTACAGCCATTAGAAGGCCATTGGAATGACAAATATTGAAGAAGGGGATGCAGTGGGCAGTAGGAATTCCTGTAGAAGCTTGGTCTCCAAAGGCTGAGCTCTGGTATTGGTCAGATAGGAAAGGACTTCAGAGGGAGTTTCACTCTTGCTTTGTGCTTTGCTGGGGTTGGTGCAATTCTTCCAGATATTCCCAGATTTATTTTACACTCAGATGTCACTGGGTTGAGTGGGATTCACCCAGCAGGGCTCAGGACCTTGTTGCTGTTCCCCATCTCAGGATCCTTCCTCTCCCTTCCTTTCTCACCATGCAAGTCACACTCCATTTTCTGCTTCTGTCACTGATGCCAGCAACGAAATCCAAGAGGCAAAGTCAGCAGCAAGGAGCCAGGAGGGATGAGGGACAGGATCCCTGGGAAGAATGGGCTCCTCATCATCAGCAGAGAGCTGCAGCAGTCAGCACCCCCTGTCCCCTGGCACTGTCCCCACACAGACCCCTGGCAGTGCTGAAGAGGCAGCCACACCACAGGCCCTCCAGCAGTGATGGGAACACACCGTGTTCATCCTTCATTCTCCAGAATTTGTCCCCATGAATTGCTGGCTGGTAGTTCCAAGCAGGAACAGAACCAAAAGAGAAACCCTTCTTCCAGGTTTTCAGGCCCATCTGGAAGGACAAGCCAAACTGGCAATGGGATGATTGTGCCCCTTCTTGTCGTGGTCACATGGAAGGGTGTTTGTCCTCTGCTCCTCCCTCCCCTTCCCATCCTCCTGCACAGGGGATGGGGCTGTTCCTCTGCCTGTGGATTCCAAAGGCCTGTGCAGATGGGCATTTGTCCCATCCTGAATGGGGTCCCTGACACTCCACTCCAGGGGACCCCATCTCTGCTACCAAGCTACAACACCTGATGTGGACAGATTTTATGGAAGAGGAATTTCATCCAACTGCTTTTGAAAGATTTTTTTTTCTTTTGCTAATGGATAATTGTGATTCACCGGGATGAAAACTTCATGGAGGGATACTGTGGCTCTGATGTAATTTCCATCAGTGAGACCTTTCCCATCAAAGCTGGAGGCAAGAGAGGGGTAATACAATGTGGAAGAAGCCCTGCTGATGGCCTGGTTCTGCAGATGTCCTGGCCATGGACCAGGAAGGACTGAGCTGCTCTGACACCTGTGGCTCAGGCAGTTCAAGTACAGCTGTGTTCTCTGAGGATTCCTCCCTGTTCCTGTCCAGAGCCCCTCCAAGCCTTTGGAATATGAATCTGAGTCTGGGCAGTGACAGTACCCCATAGGGCTGGGCTGGAGCTCATGGCTGGGAACACCCCAGCAGGTGACTGGGAGAGACTGGGAGCAGGACAGGGGCAGCCAGAGGGACCATGGGCAGGCAGCTGGGGCACATCCTCTGTCCATGCCCACAGCAGGCTGTGTCCCCAGCAGTGTTTCAGGCATTTTGCTCCGTGAAGAATGACAGAATCACAGAACAGGCTGAGCTGGACAGGATAAGATCCGTGGAGTGCCCCGTGTCCCTGCCCAGACCCCCCAACAATCCCAGCCTGTCCATCCCTGGCAGTGCTGTCCAAACGCTCCTGGAGCTCTGGCAGCCTCGGGGCCGTGCCCATTCCCTGGGGAGCCTGGGCAGTGCCCAGCACCCTCTGGGGGAAGAACCTTGCCCTGAGCTCCAGCCTGAGCCTGCCCTGGCCCAGCTCCAGCCCTGCCCTGCTCCCCTCAGTGCCTGCTCTGGTGCTATCTCTTGGCTTCAGACTTGCGGAATCCACAGTTGCCTCAAATGTGTTTGTTTCCCCACTTCCCTCTCTTTCAGTGGATGTGGGAGGAGCTGCCTTTGCCTCTCCTGCCCTTCCCCTGGGACAGGGAGCTCCCATTTCCGAGCTGTTCCCCCGACGGCAGCACTGGGGCTCTCTCCCTGCTCAGCTTCCTGAGCTGAAATCAACTCCTTAATGGAGCTCCCGAGTCCTGCTTAGCTGTGTTCTGGGTCTGGAGACCCTTTTCCCAGGCTTTTCTCATCTGAGGCTGGAGTCTCCCCACTCCTCCTTGAAGTTGGGGAACCAAAGGAAGAACCCCAAATCCCACAAGAAGGAGGAGAGCACTGAGAGCTGTGTCCTCACCTGTCCATGGGGGCACCTGGGCTGCAGGCAGGTGGCATCTCTGCTCCATCCTTCCCCAAAAGAAGATCTTGGGGCAAATTCCCAGCTGTCTGTGACTCCACAGGGATGAGATCTCTGCTTCTAAAGAGATTCCCCATAACCCTGTGAGCAAGCTGTGT